CAAGCTACACACACTTCCTCGCACTTCTCCGTTATCTCCGTTAGGTGAACCATATTTGTCTTTTCATGAGACTTGCACGTTTAAGTGAAAACATGGGCAATGTAGAGCTTCGCAAAAGCGTATGAGATCAACAAAAAGCCTCCAAACAGATTGGTTTTATAAAACGAACAAAAAATTCAAGGCAGGTAAGAAAACTGATGTCTCAAGTATAACCCATCCTTGATTAACTTGATAACCTTGAGTTCACCAAAAAAAGCTCAAAGTAACACGGAAATTTTAACAGTTCTTTCCAAATGAAGGTGACTAGTATTGCTAACAGACAATCGATGTGAAGAAGACACTTTCCCAAGAGATTTTTTGATGTTTTGTTACAAAGCAGTTGATTTTGGTGTATCCTTGATGACGGAACAAAGAAGGAGTCGCTATTTTAGGGCATTCGATAAATCTAACGAGTCAACAATCGAGTCATCGAAAAGGCTCACACGACATATGACCAGGAAAACCTTGAGTCAATAAAACGATTGCGCAACGACGGCGTGATATCTGCTCAATCAATGCCGAATGTACTATCCAAGGAACTTGTTTGGGTTCTGTTTTGAGTTATTTTGAGACAGAACACAGTCCCACGCAATGAGGCAGAGATTTCCCCTCCTGACAGCTTTACACGGCCCCTTCCTCTTCTACACGCTCCTAAGACAGATAGATTACGACACTACGACAGAGAGTGATCAGCCCACTGTGATCCTTGCGTTCGCCTAGGACCAACTAGATTTCATAAAGTAGAACGTCGCGCTCATACTCAACGTTTAAGGAGAATAGGAGACCAGGAGATTAATCACCACTCAAATAGATCTATGAAATGAACCTGACCTTTTTAGCGGACTCTTCTAATCATCTAATCTCCTACTCTTCCAAAATGTTGGATATGACCCGGCTCTGGGTCTCACCTCAATTACCACTGTAGGGTAACATACGAAAAAAGCTGAAGCCAGTAGTATTTTTCACCAGAAAAAAAGAAAACTTAAACCAAAACATGATACGCACATGGCGCTTCACTCAAGGTTATTATAAATGTGTAATAGATTTCGCAGAACACGACTGTGACTGCCCTTGTTTTGAAAATCGCACATATGGATCTAGGGCATTACCAGTTAATCCAGAGTAATCCCACTACCCAATCCGGTTTATAAAGACGAACGTGTGCTGTGGTGACAGTTAATTGGAACATGTGAAGAACCAAGCAGGGTTGAGCGGATAAATTATTTGGCTCAATTATAAAGAAGCTTTTCCCAGACCAAATTAATGAAGACGAGTTATACCTGGATATAATTGAAATTCCCCCTCCGTTTTCTTCCAGAAATTATGGTCCCGTGAAAATAAATGAGGTTCACAAAACCGTGATGACTCGTCATGTAGTTTAGTAATCAAAATAACTAATTTGCGCACTGCACATTACCATGAATATATGAGCACTAAGCCATTTACTGAGTGAAAGCATCAACAAGATGCTTTTCGCTTCTTCCCACTATTTTTTATGCTC